CGAGACAAGTTGGTCACAAACGTGGTAATACGCGCAACAATATGTTTCAACTTGCAATGCAACAATGTTGCGAGACAAGTCGAAGAAAAATTTTGCCCGTATTACGGACCTTTATCTTTGTTTACGGCAAGTTTACGGCGTATTTTCCCCCCATTTATTCCCGGCATTTGACCATTTTGCAAAAAACAAATTGACGTCAGTTTTTTATGCGTCAAAGTTTACTGCGGATCCACTCGCCTGCGGCTCGTGGTTCCACAGGCACTTTGACAATGTTATGACGCAATTTATCATCAATAAGAGGACAGACGCATAAAAAACTGACGTCAATTTGTTAATTAGTTTATATTTGTTGCAAACGAGAGGATAGCTTTCATGTTTCACGGACGGAAATGACACAGTTGTAGTTGATATGTCACCATTCGTTACATATTGTTAAGCATTTCAGAATTTTTGTTGATTTTGCTTATGTGAAGTCAAGTTCAAAGGAAATCCGTGAAGATAATTTTTGTTTTGTTTGTTTCGAAAAATGATGACGTCAGCACCTTTTCTCACATTGACGCCTTTATCTCCGAAATATGCAAGGTTATCCCAGAATTTCTTTATGGATTCTAATAGCCCTCGCTAGGATATTCTCTTCCCGCATAGTCATAAGCCAGGCAAAATACCTTTGCAATTAGGAGGCACCGTCCGTAAATGATCCATCTCCCACTCCATTTTCCTTGTCCACATTCCATACCTTTCCTCAACCTCGGTCCCAGGCTCTCTTTTCGATCAAGGGAAACAGAGAAGAGAGAGCCAGAGAACGAGGAACTTTGCTGTCCCTTACTGGCCTGGTTACCTAGCGCTAAAAGATACAAACAGTTGCTCAGTCGTGCAAAAGAAGGAAGAAGAAAGATTTCTAGGAAATTCAAAAGCACCTGAAAAGATTAACGAGTAAGTGATTTTTCGCTTTTGGTCGGTGAGGATGATGTAATTTATAGTGAACAGAATTCCCGATCCTTCGACTTGATCTGACCTTCTTTTGTTTCGGTATCAAGACAGTAAATCAACATACATAGTGTTATGTTACAGTGTACATTGAGAATAGTGAGCATAATGTTACAATTTTTTGTGAAAATTGCGAAAGCCCCGAGTTGAGCCATGTATCATTGTTTGACTCTTTTGCAACTGGGCCGTGTGAGAAGCACCAAAGCAACATTGTGGTGAAATGCCCCTGGGTGGATTGATTTCCTTCCACCAAGCTGAAGTTGTCTTCCAATTAACTGTCAATTCACCATCTGCCAATTCGACCGGCTGAAACTGTCTGCCAATTCGACTTAAAATTCAGTAGTGGAAATTAGAACATAAAATCATTTAAATATCTTCCAATTGCCTCATTTTAAGCTGCAAAAACCGCCATTACATGCAAATTTCGACCTTTCTTAAATTTTGGCTGTAAAATAAATCGTTGGAACTTTAAACTATTTTTCCATGAATAAGTTCACCAAAAGGTATGTTTTGGCAAAATAAAAGAAAAATCGATTTTTCGTGACTGTCTTCTGATTCTCGACACTCTCAGATCACTCTTAACAGTACCCATATCGGTAAATCTCTACAGGGAAAACTTTAAGAAAGTTTCCTTTTCTAACTCGCACTCCATAGGGAGGGTAGTCATTAATACTCTAGGGAGCCACCTTAAGTCGTTTTGCCCATAAGTCAGTTCTGGCTTACACTGAAGTTGATTCACCTACACATTAAGTCAAATGGCCAATGCATCTTGAGTCAATGCGCTAACATAAATAGAGAGAACCAATAGGTATTGACTTTCAAGAAATTCATTTACATGTAGTCCGCAAAAACTGATGAAACACAGCTAACATCACCCAACACTGAACCGAACTCTGCCATAATCTCTGTGTCAATTAAAGCATGAGTTGTGTTTAAAGTTACTAGTTTAAGTGTTGAACTTTCAATTTCATTCCAGTGAAGCAATTTTTCTTACAACTCATCCAGAGTAAAATGGACACATCTTTTCAAACTTTTATCTCAGTAAATTCAATGTGACTAAAGCTTGATTTACAAATGCCTAGGTTCCTTTACATTTACTTGTGAAAACTAAATGCCAATACACTGTAATTGCCACATGAACACATTCTTTGTTGACTATGTAAATGTCTTACATGTAAGCTTTTATTAGTTTGTGAAATGAGCATGTTCACAAATCGATTTAAGGTGTGTAGGCCAATGGACTTGAGTGTAGGCAAATCAGCTTGAGTGGTATAGGATAAATGGCGATACGAGACCAGTTTGAAAAACTGATCTCGAACATCACCATATACTATGATAGTACTCACAATAATATGGAAACTATATGTTTTTCCATTTTCTGGTAACTGCTTTATGATGGGCTTAAAAGGCACGGCTCCACGTCATGATTTACATAGTGGGATTAACATAATAATAATAATAATAATAATAATAATAATAATAATAATAATAATAATGATCATAATAATAATAATATTCACAGAAAAAATTTGCATAGCAGATTCACAGANAGGCAAATCAGCTTGAGTGGTATAGGATAAATGGCGATACGAGACCAGTTTGTAAAAGTGCGAGTTATTTTGTCAAATTGGGGCCAAATTCTGAGCATTGTGAAGTGCTCAAGTTTTGAAACAAACTGTCACAAGTTATAAGCAAAAAATGAAGGCCATAGGATGAAAAGAGGGCAAAATAATTTCTTCTCCCTCTGTCTTCCTCCTGTTTCCCCCATTTTTCTTTTACGAGTTGTGATAATTCACTGGAGAACCTTAATACAGTTTATTTCTCAAAGTAGACCTGTTCACAGATGTTCACGCAAAATCACAATTTTCTGTATTTTTCATTTAAACAGACAAAGACCTTGATGGATCAATTTATCACACCAAATTTATTGTACCAGCAAAGTTTGATAAGAGTCTGTGCCAAACTCGTGCAAATATAGGACTCCAAACTTACCAAATTCTTCAAAGAATTGTATGCCAGGGGGCAATTGCCCTGGCGTACACTTTTTTGTAAAATTTGGTAACTTTGAGTTTCCATAATTTTTTTCGTGAATTTGCAACAGATTCGTATTACACTTTGTAGGTGTACGAAATTTGGTAAAATAAATCAAGTGATGAAGGTGTTTTTGGTTCATTGACTTCTGCAAAAAAGTACTATTTGGATGCAATTTGTTACAATGGTTGTGCATACAACCCTTAAGTTACTGTCTATCTATTATCATTAATGTTTTAGGCAAGTTCAGTGGAATATCTGGACAAAATCATAGGAAGCACAACCTCAAATTTAGTTCATAATATTTAAAAGTTCATTGTTAACTGAAACATTGGTAACAGGCGTCGCAATTTTCAGCGCAAAATTTTGAGTGAAGAATGCCCGTGAGAACACATTGATAGTAATTTCCTGAAATCTTTCTAGACTGCCCCTCCCCCCTTTGCTTAGGTGAGCTCAGATCATTTTGGTTTTAGAGAAAAGCATCTGCCAGTGCATGAATAGAGTAAGAAATTAAGCAAAACCCTGATATGTCATTGTGCTTTTTTTTATTGGTTTAAGGTAAAATTGGTTCAGTCTGTACAAGCTTACATTCCTCTCACTCTGCTCACCCAAACTGCGTGATTCAGATTAACTCTGAAATAATGGCAGAAACAAGACCACCAGATAGGACGTCTATTGATGTGAATGAAAAGCTGTCTAAAGCTGTAATGGCAGATGACTACAATGAGGTCAAGAACTTGTTGGAGAAAGGAGCAAACCCTAACTTTGTAACTTCCAATCTAATCGATGGTACGTCCACTCCATTCCATTCTGCCGTACGAGGTAATAAAGTCAACATTGTTCGGTGCATGCTCGAATGTGGTGCAAATGTGAATCTCGTAGACGAAGATGGTGACTCGCCTCTATTCTCAGCAGTGTATAATACTACAGATCCAGAAATCCGTAATCTTTTGTTGGAAAATGGGGCCAATGTAAACCAAGTCAACAATGCAGGGAATACGGCACTCTTGCACATGCTTGAGGGATATGTTCTGGAGGGCCTGGAGTTTGATCTAGAGGCTGTATTCCAACTTCTTGATATGTGTAGCAATTTGGACCAGCATTCCTCCAGTGGGCGTTCTCTAATACATTTTGTATCAGCTATCCATCTCGTTGAAGAGCGATCTAACTCACCAAACCACAGATGCCTTATGTTTCTGGCAAAGTTAATAGACAGTCGAGTACCCGTCGACAAGAAGGACGCTACTGGTGCAACCGTTCTTCATGCCCTAGCCTCAGTCGCTTGTACTGAAGGTATGCAGTTTGTTTCAGACAGCACAACTATGGTTGATGCTACCGCCAAGGACATCAAGGGACAGACAGCTCTTCATAAATTGTGTGGCAAGCCATACAGTGTCGACTTTGCCAATTCTCTGAATTGGCTACTTTTGCATGGCTGCGATGTTAATGAGGCTGATTGCTATGGCAGAACTGCACTCCACTATGCTACTAGTACTCAGTTCACAAATGTGAGCACAGTGAAGGCACTTATCAACAAAGGTGCAAATGTACAGGCCGTGGACAAGGCTGGTTTAAACCCATTACACATGTGTGTCTTGCCAACCGTGCTCGTACCAGTTTTGGAGGAAGAGGATGAGTTCCCAGAAAAAGCTGGTGTTTGCGATGTCATCCAGCTTCTTGCTTCTGCTGGACTGGAAGTTAACAGTGCAGACAATGCTGGCTTCACACCCCTACATTTTGCATTGAGAGAGAAAGATGTCGCTGTAATAACAAAGTTACTACAACTTGGAGCAGATACAACCTTGAAAACACGCACCGGGGAGACAGCTCTACATCGCTCTACGATAGATTACGAAACATTCGAAGCTTTCATGAGATTTGCCAAACACGACAGTCTTAACGTAAATATCCAGGACAGTTTTGGCTCAACGCCTCTGCACTGGGCGATTTGGTACCATGAAGTGCTTGTTGTGAAGAAACTC